AACCTCTGTGAGGCAGGCAGCTGCCACCTCTCGCAGGAGAAGATGCCAGCTGCCAGCAGAGGACTTCACACCCAAAAAACTCAAGTCAGGTGAGGCAAGAGTTTGTTTTCTAGGTGGGCCTGAGTTATGTGTGGGTATAATAATAATGTTAAATAACTGGGGTTGATGTTATCTTACCTAATGAGATGTTTTTCCTAAGTAGAAGGATTTGGTTTATGGGATATGATGTATTCTTCCCCTGCTGGGCTATTCAGATGTCTTTTGTGCCCTTCTAATGCTATTCTCTCAATCCATGACAATAAATTGTAGTTTAGAGTAAATTCAGCAACTAACTTACACGTGGAAGAAGGTGGCAATGGCAGCAGTGCAAGTAACAAATGATCCACAACTGGTGACATGACCCCAGCAAGTCTTCTCCTCTGTGGCTGCCCCAGCCCAACTCTCTCCTGCTGGGCTCCCAGCAGAATTTGACTGTCTTTAGATTCTCTTAATTCTTGTCTCTTGTTTCTGGTTGTTCTCACCATCAAGGTTGTTCCCTCTCTTAGTCTTAGGGTCCTTCATGTCTCCTTATTTGACTTTCAGACCTGTTCATTTTATGCTTATTCAGCCTAAAAGTTTTTAACCCTAAAAGTTTTTAACCCCAGCCTTCCACCATCACTGGAATAGTTCTTCCTGGGAGGTCACCTTTCCCCATGTGGATTTTAGTGACAGTTTGTACATCTGGTGCTTGGTTTGATGCTTCTCTCCTGGAGCAGCTTCATTCTCCTGTGCTCTCTAGATACTTCTGTAGGTGTCCAGTCTTCCCTGTTAAAACCCCAACTTCCCAGCTTTATCTGGACCATAAACCAGTCCCTATATATCTATTTTTGCAGGGTTTTTCTTATGTTTTAGTTTTGTAGGAGGAATTTTAGCTGAAACAGTAGCTAATTGGCTTTGGTGCTCTCATTAAGGGTAACCTACTTTCAGAAATAGCTGCGAGTCCTCTGGGATCTACCCTAAAGGATATTGGATGTGCACAAGTCTGGGGTTTGTAGCTGGCTTGTTGAATTCAGAGATGGAATTTTTGGAACATAGCCACTGGGGACCTTTCTGTTACAAACAACCTAACTCCAGATTGAGTTTGGGATAAAATGTTTGATTTGTGATACAAATTTACAGTTAATTATTGTTTGTGTGTGTGTACAAATAGGGAGTGATGAAAATGGAGCGTTGCCAAAAGGAAAAAGAAACAAAACAAAAGAAGAACTTGTTGAAGAGGATTCAAGGACTGCTGGAGGGATGGGCAGGAAGACAAGATCAAGTGCAAGAACAAGAAAATAGTCTGAACAGTCACAGAAACAGTTTTTTTAAATCAATTCAGTGACAGGAATTACTATATATATATTTTTTTTTTAATGTGAATTGATTTGCACTCAGATTTTAAGCTCAGATCTTGTAAAGCAATCCCTTAGTGAGGATATTATCAAAATGTATTTCTTAATGTCTTTGCTGATACCTGTCTAAATAGATGGTTTATTTTTTTTCTGTGGGTAGTGGTTCCTAAGCCACGGGGTGCTTGTGCAAAACTGCAGATGTAAAAATATCTCTTTTTATAAGTCTTTATTTTCCCCCTTTTCTGTCTTAATCAGAGCAGCAATCAGGAAGCCATATTACTTCACTGCCAGTTTAATTGTAAGCTATTTTCTTCTTAAATTTCCTTGTGCTCCAGTCTTATTGTTCTTTACAGTTCTGTAAATATTCTTTTAACAGTTGTAGATGCATTAGCAGAACTATTATGCAGAAACTTTCATATTGTTTTTTTTTTTTTAAAAAAAATCTGAAGTTTGTTGTACTGAAAAGTGGATTTTTAAGTCATTAAATTTGTAAACAGTTTGGGACTCGTGTTTATTGTGTTCTTAAAAACAGTTCAGAACATGTAATTACCACTCTGACAAAAATATCTCCAAGATTCACCCTTTTTAGCCACACTGCCCATTTTTGGAGATGTTTGTGGCTAGTTGGATGTTGTGCTTGGATGTTCTTGTCAACTATAAAAGTGAGAAAAAGAGACCAAGGGCCAGTGGATGGTCCATTCCTCTGGAAACAGCAGCCAGCCCCAAGTCTTCTTTGGATCAGAGCCAGCTCTTGGAGAGGGTTTATTGCTTTAGGATTGAGGAGTCTTCTTCAGCCTTGATTTCAGCCTTCCACACGTGAGGAACACTTTCACCCAAAAATATTTAACTGGTTTTGGGTGCAGGATTTGCCATCTTCCTGCCTCCTCCCAGGTCCTGTAGCTCCATGCACCTTGTCCCAGCAACACCTGCAGCAGCAGGTCTGGACTGGGACTCTCAAAGTTGTTTTCAGAGTTGCACCTGGTTTATTTGAGCTATATGAAGTTCCAGTAGCTGAGGAACTTTTTGGGTTTCCTCTCACCCTGTGAAAGGGTGGCTTTTTTGTCCTCATGGCTCTAGGTCTATCTAACAGCAGAACAGACCCCAAAACTCCACCTTCAATGAGTCTGTTTCTTCATCAGCCTGCTGACCATCACAGGCTTCTTCCTACAAGTATCTCTAGTCTTCAGACAAGCCCCAGGACTGTGTCCATCCACTGGGTCACAGGAGGGAGATGGGACAAAGTAACTGGGTGCTGGCACCCCCATGAAGTTATTGTGTAGGGACCCCTCTGTCAGGACACTCAAAAAAAACCCATAACACTGAAATCTTGCAGTCACTGCTGTGGGTTTGAATCCCCCAGATGCATTATTTGAAAGCTGTGCTGAAA